TAGAGATACCATTTGACCCAGCAATTCCACTACTGGGAATATACCCTAAAGAGACCATAACTGACATCCAAGCAGATGTATGCACACCCATGTTTATTGTGGTTTTCTTCATGAATGACAGAGAATGGCTAGAGAAGCTGTGGTATATTCACACAATGGAATACTATGCTGCTTTGAAAAACAAGGAACTCCTGCAATATTATTCAAAATGGGTGATTCTGGAGGACATTATGCTGAGTGAAATATCTCAGTCACAAAGGGACAAATATTATATGGTGCCACTGTTGTAGAATGAGGCTGACATTGGGGTGGGGGTTAAGACTGAGAAAAACTGGATAAATTACGTTTACTGCATTGAAGCTGATGAGGGAGAGAATAGTTCAAAATTAATATATTTTAGGGATATTATGATTATCCTAAGAGTCCGGAATGAGGGTTGCAGAGTGGAGTACACTTGGTGTGGAGTGGAGATGTGCGGGGTGAGGGGGGGGGGATTGTGTACCAATGAAGGAGTTTTCTTTTGCTTTTCAAGGAGAGAAGTGAACTGGGGGTGGGGGTGAGTGGGTGGGGAGAATAGTGCAACAATGAATGAATGGAGTTCCAAAATCTCTGTAGATGTTCATTGAAATGAATAATAATAATAATGAGAGAGAAAAAAAAGAAAGTGATATATGATTGAGTATGATGGTTATGACAGGAGTCCAGAGCGAAGGTTGCATAGTGGAGTGGACTCGGGGCAGGAGGGGGGATTCCATATCAATGAAATAATTTTTCGTTTACTTTTCAAAGAGAAGAGTGAACTGGAGGGAGGGTGGGCAGGGAGAAAAATGCAACAATGAATATATGGAAATCCAAAATCTCTGTGTTTATTAAAATGAATTTTTTAAAAAGAATCACTATGCTAATTAGCTGGAGTGGCATCCACTTGCTAAACAACGTGCCTCAGAAACTGCAGGAATTTTGATAAATGTTGATAGCTGTGGAGGGGCTTCAGGCCTTTTGTTCATAGGGTCGCTAGGAGTCCTGCTCCGCTCAAAGGTAATCAACAACAACAACAACAAAATGCTAATAATGTTTTATGTTGTTGTTGTTGTTATGTGCCGTCGAGTCGCCTGCGACTCATAGCGACCCTATGTACCACAGCCCTAAACTCCGCTCTGTCCTGTGCCAATCGCACTGTCTCTGACACTCCCATCCCAATTATCCCAGTCACTGAATCAATCCACCTCATA